ATGTGTGTGTGTATATATATATATATATATATATCATTAATAAGTGTTTCAGAAATCCTTAAGTATAAAAAGTATTTATATAACATATAGAGGTTAAGAATACCTTGCATTAAAAAATAATTATCATTAAGAAATTGAAACTTTGAAACAAAAAAGTGATGACATGATACGAAATGTAAATAGAAGTCATTGTTTTTTTCTTATATTTTAAACAAAACCAAAACTTAAATAATTAAAAGTTTACCAATAGGATATAAAATCTTCATATTGTTGAAAATTATCATGTCATAATATAATACTAGAATGTTTATTATATTGCGATTTCCAGAATTTATTTTAGTCAAAATTTATGAAAAAAATATGAATATTAACAGCCCTGTTGTAATAGCACAGGCCAATCAACAGCCTTTGCCATTGGGTTCGATTTAAGATCCTTTCACGCAAACAAAACTTTTATATAATATCTGTCATTAATCTAAGACATTGATTTGCATGTGTGCTGAAGGGGATGCAGATCAGGACAGATTTCCATATCATCACTACTATGTTGTGGTTGTCAGAAATGAATTAATATAAAAAAAGAAATACAAATTACAACCAAAGCTCAAGCCATCGAAAACCTAATTTTAACAACACAGGTCAAAGAACAGTTCATTCAGTAGGATTTATATTCGTTTAATCAACTCTTATTAAATCCCTTATGGCAGAATTTTTTCAGTTTTTCTGCAACAAAACTCACTAGCACTCCTTTCAATAATAACAAAGATGTATGTTACTAATTTAAGGTAATAAAATCACTGTGATTACAAGAATAATAAAAAACTTTTATTGAATATGTAATATTCTTTTGATTATAATATTATGGGCCGGCGATATTGTCGCATTTTGTTGGGGGGAAGGCACTAATTATTTCCTTTATTGCATTTAGCAAATCATCATCACATTAAAAAAAATAATTAAATATCATGAAATCTGTTGTAGTAATTACTGAAAAATAGATCAACGATGAAATCACGCACATCCGGCTCTTTAGAAAAGGGTTACTCAAATGCATGCTTCGTTTCAAGATTTGATTATTGTAATAAATAATATTGTATAAAAATATCAGGTTTTAAAAACTAAGTGGAAATCAAAAGCAATAACTGCCAAAAAAATTGATAGAATCATTCCCTTAAAAAGCAAATTATCAAATGCGCAATTTGAACTTCCCATAACGTCTGAAATATATTAGGATATCTAAAAGCCACGTGAAAATCAATGTCAATAACTGCCGAAAAGACAGTCAAAATGGATTTATGATATCGGCATAATCTGAGCGCTTTAAACAGAGATTATTTAAGTGCGTGATTCAAATTTTACAAGTAAATCCCTGCAGAAAAACAAACCAAATATTTTTATTTTCCAAAAAAAAAACTTTCTGCATGAAATCTGTGAAGTTCTGAGACAATGCCGCCATTTCGTTGTGATTAAATCTAACACAATATAACCAAAAAGTATCATTTTTTAAAAACTAGGACAGTATTCATCATTCCAAGCCTGTTATGAAATAGGGGAGATTTCCGTATCCTGATCTGTGGCAGAATAATTGCCGAGTCTTGGCAACTTCTAGACAGCGGCCCGCGAGAAAGAAAAAAAAAACATCCCAGAAAGAGACCAACTCAAAAGGTATAACTCCTAACCACCCCCGGGCAAACATCAACATGTTTTTTTTATAAAGAATATTGCAAGTTTAAAATCTGTTTGGCACCTTGGCAATAGTAGTTGGCGAAACAGATCAGAATACAGAAATATCCCCATAAACAAGAGCATTTAAAGTTAAATTTCTATCACTAATGCTGAAATTGTATCCCAAATTCAGCAAACTATCACAAATTTGAGAATAAAGCCTTGGATAATTGTTTAATTTATGAAAATTTTATGGTAACAAATCGATAAGTATGTTTATTGAACTAAATCACAAGCCTAAATTCTTTTGATACAAATCTATCAAGTAAAACTAATTACCCCAGGAACCGAAATTTGAAGGAAATCTTGGTCTTGAAAACAACTAATATCAGACATAAAACATTAAAGCTTATTAATGATATCCATTGCAAGAAACAGAAGTTTTTTTTTACTAATTTATTATAAAATCTATTCAAAAATACAGTCAAATCATGACGATCTTAACAGAGATAAATTCAAAATGAACCAGACTGACTATAAACCTGGTGCACTTAGTGCATACGTGCCCCAATATATAAGTTTTATAAAATTATGGTCTAAAATATTGCGAAAGTAACATTTTATACACAAAATAAATAGAGATGGAATCGACATGAATCACTATTAATAATTTGTTTAAATAAAATATTCACTTCTCTACCTGCAATTTTGTTACTACTCTAATCGCTCTTCATATAGTTTTCTTTAACAATGAGTTAGTATTTTCTTCATATGAAAAGACATTTGTTATGTTTACTAATATTATAATAGGGAACGCACAATCACAATGATGAATTACCAATTCTTTAGCAGGTAGAGTGAGTAACTTTTGTTTTCAAGTACAACTGCGCATGCGCTTGAAATGCTTGGCTAGAATTTAATTTTCACCAAATAATTTCGAAAAGTAACCCTGTTGAAGAGATTGCGCGGAGGTGTAATTTAAGTGTAGCTTTAATTGCAATTGTTATTCTAAGCTCTTCATTTATGATTCATTAAATAAAGTAAGTTAATTGTTTTAAATAAATTTTTTCTGTTTATAATATTGCATCAATGTATTTTAAAACGTTTGCGACATTTTATAATTCTAATTATCTGTGATAAAGTAGTTAAAGATTTGCACGTTACTGAGTTAGGCTTAGTTACATATTTGTTTTCCTATTTTATCTTTGATATAATAAGAAATGTCTGTTAATAAAAGAATATTATTTTAAATATTCGATAGTTTATTCTTTTGCATATATAAACTAATCAATCAATAAAAATTTTTTGAACTGTTCTAATTCTTTTATGTGTGTAGAAAATATAATAAAGGTAATTATATGGTATTAAAATAAAAGGTGTCAATGTACCATCATTTATTTACAATTGAAAGGTTATTAATTGTAAATGATGGCATATTGACATTATAATTACTTATCTTTAAGATTATTTAACCGTTTGTAGATTCTTAAATTATGATACTTACAAACATGTATTTATTGGAATTTAATTGAAGGTTTTACTATTTGATGTATATATTGACATATTTTGAACTGAATCTACTTGTGCAAAATTCCGGTATAGTTTAGATTATTTTATAATTTTGTATATTACCCATCAATAAATGATGAAATACCAGAATGTATACAAGTACTGTAAGATTTCTTAAGCAGAGGTTGGTGCAAGCATTACCTTTAACTGTGGAGAAGTGATGCAGTTTAGCGATAATCTATGATGCACAATGGCTCAGTGGGGCTTTAGTGAGGGAACTTGTTTATTATTTTCATATCAAGTCTTTCTTTCTATTGCCCCTTCTAAGCCGCATCTTTTGATTTCCACAAACAACTTTTTCGATGAGGAGTTTATGGGAATCTGATAATATAGGTGTATTAGTAAGTATAATGGTGAGTATTTTACCTTATATGTATATAGTTTTTGTTTACATCCTCATAAAAAGAGATATATATTGTATTATTAAGTTGTATGTGGAATTCCATGTCTATCAACATGTAGATACTACGTTAGGTTTTTTTAGCAACTAATATAAAAAGCTCATTTAACCTATGAATTTTGGATACCTAGATGTGTAACAATTTTGTATGGTGCATATTAAGTGTTGCATTATCTAAGATCCAAAGTAGGACACTTAAGGTTTTAATTACCATGTCCAATCATGAGCAAAACATTTTTGAATGCTAAAGGTCAGCTTATCCGATTCACTAGAACATTACCAAAAGTGCCTCTCCTTTTGTGGCGAAATAATGACGGTAAATAATGTGAAACTTGCATACAAAGCGTAAAATAGATGAAATTTGAATGCCTGTATATAAAATTTTAAATGAAAAATAATGACAATTTGAATGGAATTCTTTTATTATTTTATCTTCTAATCATGAATCAATATGTTCGTGCTTATACGTACTGTGTAACTGTTATTGCAAGAGGGTGCATTTTTATTTACAAGCGTAGCATGCCTAATTTTTTTATTTATTTACAGCTTGTACAAGGTTTTCACATGAATTCCCAAATAATAAGCCTACTGTTCAGTTTTTACTAGTACATGGGCTTATTTACAGTTTGAGTTAGGTAATTTTGTTAATTGATGTTAGTTTTATGATTTTAATAATTTGTAGTGTGTTAAATGGTTTTTAAGATAAAATATGGTTCTCTTGGTGTTATTTATTTGATGAATATTTATTACTTCAGTAAGTATAAGGCATAATAACAGTATAGACTTAAGTACAATATGGCAAGATAACTTATGTTTTTAAGGAAGGATATACCTATTATTTTTGAAATTTTCTAATCATTCTGATGTGACATCAAAAGTAACTACTTAAAAAAATTTTTTAATATTAATTACATTATTTTATGGTTGTTAGTTATTAAAAATTGGTAATCCATTGTATATTTTAAATAAACTAGTAAGAAATAAAAATCATTTTAAAGTACTCAGAATGTAAAGGGTTACTAAGTGGCTGAATTTCCATGAAACATTATTTATTCGCAATAGTTTTTAAATTGTACTTAAATGCTCAAAACCACATAATTGACAACTAAATGTATAATTTCAGTAAAGTGTCATTATATACTTGTCTATTTTTGTTTCTTCAATTCAAAGAATCTTTTTAAATCTTCTGTGTTACAAATACATATTTTAAGGTAAATTATGCTTCGCCGAATCATGTGAGAAATAATGATTAAAGCAGTAATAATCATTTTGAAATTATATTATTTAATCATATAAAATTAATTTGCATATTAATGACACATAACTATAATTTTAACTATTTGTATGAAGTAGGCTTTAAATGAGTGTTCTGAATAGGATCAAATTAATTTTATCCATGTTTTGTATCAATCTTTAATATTTACAAAGAATGAAATGTTAAGATAGTGAAATTGAATTACTAAATACTCTGTTTTTGTAATTGTATACAATGTCTTAATGAGAAAAATATGTACTATCACTTAAATAATTGATGTTGTTAACATATAGCAATTTATCTAACTATTCGCCTGAATTTGGAATGCATATACATACATACATACATATGTTTGAAAAATTCGTTAAAATAAAAAATTATCATGAGTTTGCATACTTTAAAAGATATGGGTATAGCAAAAGATACTATTATATAAGATTAATTATATAATAGTATATTTGAAGTTAATTACTTCACATACTTATTTTTTCTTGTCATGAATATTATAAGACAATTTTAAAAAATCATGTATTTCTAAAAATTCACTAAAAACTTAATATCATTATTAAATGAAAATTCATTCCTCTTATCACCATCTGTTCGTTGAAATTCAGCGCCATCTGGCAATGATTTAATAAACTTTCTATCCAAAGCCGAAAATCTCGCAGCCAGTTGTAAAGGGATAGGTTTGCAACATTTGGCAACTTTTCGCTGTTTTCAACTGACTGAAGCGTCAGAAATATCGCCTTGCGCATGCGCAGTCGCTCAGCCGGTTGTACCCACAGACACAAGTACGTACAACCGCTGCGTGTACAATGCGCATGAGCATGACTGGACTTTCTTCTCAGGAATTTTGATTGTTGCTGTTGTTAATTTACGTCTAACTAGAGCTGCACAATGGGCTATTGGCGACGGTCTGGGAAACATCCCGGAGGATGATCCGAAGACATGCAATCACAATTTTGATCCTCTGCGGAGGGGACAGGAATTTTGAAAAACGTACATGTAGCTCTATTCATGATCGCGACGCACGAATACGCCATCTGGGGAGAAGACCGGTTCCATGTCTAGCCCTCACCTCTTCTCAGTTGTACTACGATATTTTCCCTTTTCTTAATATTTTTCATATTTAGCTGTCAAAAATGTTTTTTTAAATTTCGATGTCATTTTCTTTTAGAACTATACTTAATGTAGTTTTCAGTTCCATATAGTTTCCTATTTTAAGAGTTTTTAATATTTAAGCAAGCAGATTTAAGTTTTAAAAGTGTATAATATCAGAAAATATGCTTGAGATAAAATATGTGTGTATTCTTTCAGACGTGCAGCGTTTTACCTATCATTAATTCTAATAATTATGCTTCTTAATATTTTATGAGACCACTAAAAAGAAAGCTATTTTTTAATAGAATGTTGGAGGATACAACCTAGCATAATAAGAATTTATCCATAGATAATAACTAATAACTGAAGGAAATAGCTCATAAGCAATAACAACAGTTTTTATTGAAAAAAAAATATCAGTAATAAAAACAGTTTATTAAATGATTCCGAATGAATCATGATATTCAAAAATATGGTTACAATTAACCATAAATTTTATATTTAATTATACGATCAATAATCAAAGTTTATGAACGATGAGCAAGAAAGTAAGATGAAAAAATGAGCTGGAAACGGGGTGACCGATACCAGCGAAACTCAAACACGCCAGCGGCGTCAACAAATGAATCGCCTAAATGGTTTTACAAATAAAATTCTTAATTGACTATGACAGTGAGTTAATTATTATTGCATATTAATTACATCAATTGGAATTAACAGTTAACTCAGTGTTGCTGTTATAAATTAGTCATCACTAATATGCATTCAAAGTCAAATCAAACATATTAGTTTTGATTGTGATTTAACTGTAAATGAATATTAATTCTAATCGATTAATAGCAAAGTAAATAATGAAGAAAAGCATTAAACTGTGCTTGTGATATTATAAATTTCATTTGGATAATTAAACAAAATATTTGAAAACTTAAAATTACCTTATATCCTTAAATTTATGGTCAAAGAAAGTACATTTCACAATTTTGGAAAAATGTCTAAATTCTAAACCACTTATTTTTAGGCAATGCAAATTTGAATAAATTATTTTCAACTCAACATAACTTTTATTTTAATGACACCAAAATTACAACTATTAAAAAATATAATTAGCTCTTATATTCATTAGAACTTCATTTTAGAATTAATGAAAAAAGTATTCATTTCAGATTTTTTTTAAAAAAATTCAGCTTAACCCACCTGGCGGCGGACCCGAAATAACTCGGGCATGATTTCTACACACAAAGCGGCAAGCCCGGAATAACTCGGGTTGCCTCTCTAGCGGCGCGCCCGAGTTTTTGGCTGGAATTTTTTTTGCCTTCCCCTACGACCGCCGACTGGGTACTAATTGAGGGGTGGTTATAGCTGTCATCATAGATCACTATAACAGAAGAGTTGTGAGTCCAGTCATGAGTTCATAGTACATTAGCAGTTTAATTGTACTGAGAGTTAAAGTTTGTTTTAAAGGAAAAAAATATTAATTTTATGTTTTCTTTTGCTAATAATAAATTAAACATTTTGTTGCTTTTGTTATTATTTTACTTCTATTTTTTTAAAAATTGAAGT